ACTTCAGGCTCTAATTAGAGTTAATGTTTGGATGTTTTTTTAGGTCCAACCTAAAAAAAAAAAAAAATCAAATGTTCTCACTAATAAAAATCTTAAAGTGCATTGAAACTCATTCATTTAGTTAGTAGAAGGCGTCAGGCTGTTCTGTGAAGACCTCAGTGGTTTGATAAACATGAGCCACAGCTCAGAGAGAGAAAATGTCAACTGGATGATTTCTGGTCGTTTTCTCCATAAATCTGGACGAACTGGAAGAGGCCAACAGCCAGTCATCCCATCAGGGAGCCTTTGCTTCATGTTACACCCTCACTGTGATCAAAATGATTCAGTGTGTCAATTAAAGCACTTCTAGTCATGTTTGGTAAAATCAGCCACGGTGTGGATTACAGCCATGTCACTGGTTTAGTGAATGCTACAGGAAGTAATCATACATACAAGCGGGAAAGTTGGGGAAGCCAGTTTGTCGAAAGCTCTAGACATACTGTACAAACACTGCAAGCCAAAGCATTAAAATCTGTCAAAATTTGACACTTTAGGAGCCAGATTCCATTTGTGTTTGACCTCAGTGCTGGGGGGAAAGATACAAGAAGCTAGCATTAACCTGCGCCTCCAGCAGCGGTCGGCCCTCGTCCATCGTTATGGCAACGTCCTTACGAGGCGCAGTCATCATCAGAGCCACTGTTGAACAGAAACGAGGAAAGATTTTCTCCCACGTCTGGAACAACTTGTCAACTTTGAGGAACTGAAACTCACTCTTGGAGGCCCTGGCTCCCTCGGAAACGATGACGTACGGGTCGCACCTGAACTCCTCCAGGCAGGTGATGGTGCACTGACCAACCACAGGCTTCCTGCCAAATGGCCGGTGGTCAATCACCTTCACCACGATGGGAGGAGTGTACATCTCATCCTTTGGAAGGAGCTGAGAGGGAAAGAATAGGAAACAACCTGAAGCTTTAGGAAGAAGTTTAGGATTTTATATTTAACTACTAAACACTGAGATGTCAAATGCTCATCCATGTCCTCTTATCGCTTGTGTTTTATCCAAAAACTGACATATTTTGATACAAAGTAGTGTGTAACTGAAGTGGGAGCAAAATTAATATCTGTGAAGCTTTTTTAGACAGTGAGGTAGTGATAAACTTCTTAAAGAGGTTTTATCTAAAAAAAACACTGGACATAAAGACTATTTATGGGTAAAGTCATGTGACTTTGTTGTGAGCTAAATGCTGCAGACATTTCCTGGTTACAGTGTTTGGAAGAACACATCAACATATTTTAAATGTTTTAATGTCCAGTGCTTTATAGATTAAACCTCTTCATGAAAAGTGATTCGTTCTCTCTTTTTGGTCACAACTATTAAAATAAAAACATCAGTTCATCCGTTTCTTTTTTTGTTTCCGAGTTTAATGCACAGTTAGATAAGAAGAGTTAATTGGAATATATATGTATTTTTCTGCAAAGTGCCTCAAGACGACATTTGTTGTGAATTGATGCTATATATATCTGCTTATATATATATATATATATATATATATATATATAAGCAGGTCACTTTTTTTTTTAATGGGTCCTGGTGAATTATTTTAGGTCCAACCTAAACACACACATATATATAAGTTAGATTTCTTATTCAATTTCAGACTGTAGGACCAAAATGCTACTTTTCAAATATCCCTGTTGGCATCGTCCTTTAATGACATCATCATTACCACTTTGATGAAGAGGACGCAGCCGGGGAAGTTGGGGCTCTTCTTCATGTTCTTGATCACAGCAGACTCCACCCGCTGGCCTCCGCACTCCACCACCAGGCTGGGGGAAGACACCGCCGCCAGTTGGTAGGTCTTCATGTTCCTCAGACCCCACGCCAGAATCTGGAGGCCGAGAGGAGAGCTGGTTACACAGAGAGACAGAGCGCATCGACGGGCCGGCGTCTGCGATGAGCCTCACCTCCACAGCTGTCAGCTGCACCACCGGCCGGATCCCCTGGGGGACCATGTAGAGGTTCTCGGCTCTTTTTGGGGGAACCAGGGGAAGATCCCCATCACCTGACTGCAAAAAGACAAACTCTCAACGTTTTGTTTCTAAGACTGACCGAAGAGAAACAAAAAGGGAAGAGGATGAAATACCAGGTTTTTACTAGCACGCTGAATTTAGGGTTCAAACACATTTCACATTTTAAAAAGTATGATTATTAAAAATGTATGGAAATAATCAACCAAGTAATCAATTAACCGTTAACTGGAGTATTCAGACTAAAAAAAAGGCTGTTTCCTGAAAGAACATATGCAGAGCAGCAAAAACTTCCAAAAACATAAGATGCATTTAAGATTTAAAAAAAAAAAAAATGTAAATCTGTTCTTCCCAGCTCTCTAGTTTCGGCTTCACCTGGTTCAAATTCTGTAAAAACAAGCAAACCTCACATTAAGTACATTTAGCTATCCAGTTATTAATTGGTTCATTTAAATATTAATCAGCAGATCAGCCTGACATTGTTCTGACGAGTCAAACAGAACGAATGAGTTTCACACATGGTGACTCTTTTAGCTGCAGTCGAATCGTTTGCTGCACATGATGAACAGCATCATTGTTCATCACTGTTTTTGCATTCAAGGCAATAAAATGAACTTCTTATTTAAAAAGAATTTGCAATTTTATGTTGCACAAAATATTTTTTAAGTGCAAGTTAAAAAGTTAAAATGAAAAAGTTGCAGTTATCTGGTTGAAAAGTTTTATTATCGGATTAATCTTCAGAATAATTGATAGAATAACCGATAACTACAGTAAAGCTGAAGAACTTGATCATATATCAACTCTACTGCTCTAGATTATCCCAGCATTATGAGCTAATCTGTTGTTCACAGAATGAAACGAAAATGTTCCTGTTGTACTTTCCGTCTTTTCCCAGCATTCCCCATTCCAGTCGCTCAGACTGCCAGCTGTAAGAACGCGTCACCTCCAACCCTCTCAATTTAAAAACAGCAAGAGATGTTTAGTGTCAGGAAATAAAACCGTATAGAAACAGTGGGTGTAGCAGGTCATTCAGTCCAAATGCAAAACAGGAAGGAATGCTCCAGAATTTCTAAGAATGTAATGCAACCCGTTTCCCAGAGATGTACAGATATATTTTTTTTAAATAAATCAGACCTTGTCTTTCAGAATGAGTTCAGCCGCCACGAGGGCCTCCCCAGCCCTCTGGCCCTTCTGGATGACGGGGTGCCACAGCAGCCGGGGCGTCTGATCCATGCTGGAGTTCAGCTTCACCAGCGGGACGCAAATGCTGCGGCCCAGCTGCTCGTCCTTCCCCTGCACACAGCATCACATGTTTCACTGCCACAGAGTTCAGCTGGAATCCCCAACGGCAGAGAACCAGCGAGGAGCTGAGAAAACTCCTGGAGGGGAACGGATTTATTCAGCCACAGACACCCACAGGACAGGAAGAGACGGATGCTGTTTTGCAGGGAAATAAAATTCTGAAGAATGTTCTGTTCCACATAATAAAGGCATGTTGAATCTTTCCAGAAGGAAAATTAGACCTTGAAAGGTCAATTTTCTGCCCTATGAAAGTTCAGCGTTTGAACTATGCAATTACAGTCTGAAGACATTTCATCTGTAAATGGGATCTTTGAATCGTTGTAATATACCGCCACCATGCAGCCTACCACTTGGTCGCTGTCGTAGAACTCCAGCACCACGTCTGGAGGATTGGCATCGACGTTCTTGGGGTCTCCGTAAATCTCTACGTCGTTGAAAATCAGAGTTTGGTCCCAGGTCGGGTTCAGCGTGGCTCGGAGCTTCTCCGTCGTCTTGCTGACGTGAAGGAAGGAAACGTGCGCGTACGGATCTGTAACGTGGGAAGACATGATTTTACCTCATATTCATGTGCATGAGTCAGTCTTATTAAAAACACAAAGACTCGTCATGTTCAACAGGGAGATCTGTAGCGGACATGATGCTGAACCGCTTTTCTCCAGGTCACATCAAAACATGGTTGCAGGTCTGAGATATAGTCACATCAACCCACTAGTTAATGATTTAAATACGTAGTTTAAAAACTAAATATTTAGTTTAATTTGTAGCTAAATATTTACCTCCAATATATTTAGTTTACAAATATTTTGTTTTCCAACAAAATATTTAGCTCCAATTGAGATATTTTCTTTAAATATTTAGCTCAGACCTAAAAATTTTGCCAGCAAACTAAATATTTAACTCATGACTAAGTATTTATGTCAGAGATAAATATTTAGTTTAAAAATAAAATATTTATTTTGTAAACTATACATTTAGCTTCACATTTAATATTTAGTTTAACTAAACATTTAGCTTGTGAATTATATCTGGTTATGAACTGCACACATTTATGAATGTATGAACATGATTAAAATATAACTTTGAAAATGAACACTCAGTTTATTTCCCAGGCTAAATAAACCAAATATTGCCGTTAATATTTTACTGTGTAACTTTTCAAACGCTGTTTGACCTGCTCAGAAGTGATCCTTTAAAAGGATTTCACCTTTTGAACTGAAATAAAATAAACTTTTTCATAACATTCTAATTTCCTGACATGGATCCACAGATCTTTTGCCCACAGATAAAATCTTACCAGAGAAACTGTCTTTGTCCATAGACGTCAGGTTCCTCGCCTGGTAGAGATAGACTCGGAGGTGGTACATGTATGACCCTACAGAGGAGTTCAGGAAAATAAGATCAATTCACATCTGACCCTTCTGGCCTGCGGTATGTTATGTTCTAACTGTCTGTGGCTCACTGTCGAAGGAGCAGGACACGGTGGGGGTGTTGGCCCCAAACAGCTTGGTGGCATCGCCTTTGGAGCCGTTCTCCTTGTCCTCTGTATCGATGCCCTGCAGACCAAAGCAGAAACATCCTTCAGCGGCGTGTTCATGTGTCGCACGGCAAATACAAGCCAAACTGCGCCTGAGGAGCCGGCCTTCATTAATCGTGGGTAAATATTTGGTGACTCATTAAGCTCACAGTCAGTTCCTGCTTCCTCTGAATTACCAACAGGCCTGTTTGCTGCTCTGAACGAGAATCTGTCCGTCTGTGACGGTGGATCCAGTTTCACTCACTAATGCACCCTCCAGCTGAAAAATGGCGCAGGCTCCCAGGCGATCTTCGGGCGCCATCTTTCTCCTCCAGCGCCGTCGACGGAACGAGTCCGAGGAACGCTCGTTTCGATGGAACTTCCAGCCAATCAGGGAGGAGAATTCCCATCCCTCGGGGTCACCATGATCTCTTCTCTGTGCATTTGAGAACAAACATCTGAAGGCAACAATATTTCCTTAAATGGATTAATGCAGAAATGCATGTGGCAGCATTTCTGACAGTTCCTTCACTAAGCCGTGGCGTTGGGTGCCGACCTCCAGTGCCGCGCCGGACGGACGCGCCGCTCTCTTTCGGGGCCGGACCAGCCTCCTCCGCCGGTGGACGTGGTACATCTTCTCAGCAGGGACCCAGGATCGGGGCTTATCGTCTGGAGGAATGGTCACCCCGTACTCCCAGCCTGTGCAGAACACACACACTGTTGTCATATACTTTTTGTCATTCATATTATCCTGGCAGTATTTTGTCATTTTTGTTTCTTCTAATGTCATTTCTTTTTTTTTTTTTTACCCCTGAACTAACGGAGAGCACTTTGGTGCAGAGCTCACTGCTGTACAGCTCTACAGAAATAAATGTAGATTTATATGTGACTGATTTATTCACCTGCCTTCACACATTAATTTGTGCTGCATGCAATTCTTAATTCATGGGATCTAAATTGCCAGTGGTCTACACTTACAGTATGTAACTTTTATACTTAGAAATACACTTTTTTTGTTTGTCTTTTTTGTTTTTACAGCCTGCCATTAATGCTAAAGCTAGTTAGCTTTAGCATTAAAGCTAACTAGCTTTAATACTAGTTAGCTGATGGTAGATGAACAGTTTTCCTGTAACTAAGCTGTTCCTCCGCCATTACATGAGGTGATTGTCAGCACTAAGCCCCTCCTCCTCCTGGCTCTGATTGGTTGTTTCTGACCAACAGTGTATTTCTGCAGCTGGCAGTGAGAGCATTGATTAGATCAAAGCACATCCATGAAAAGCTCAGTTTTATGTAAAATGACACATTGTGAGTTTCTGCACCTTGATCATCCACAGCTCTGTTGATGTCCACCGTCCAGCTGTCCTCCCACGTCCAGCCTGGAGGACAGTCGAACTCTTTAGGGTTTCGGCTTTTCTCTCCGTTCTGCCCAACACACAAATGAGGCCAGCTGCAATTTCATAATCAAGAACGTGCATATCTTTTTTTTTTTAAGCAACTGAATAACAGAGAGATGATCCGCAGGTTTAAAAGATCCAGATATGTGCATTTGTGTATTTTTTGTCGTAGAGATCCTGATGGTGTGCGTGTGCGTGTGTGTGTGTGCACGCGCACACACACGACGTGGCTCGCTGCTCTCACCACGTCGGTGTACGGCTCCGAGGCGGCCTTCCACTCTCCGCCGGGGAAACGGCTCTCGTTCTGAAACACCTCGTCCATGAACTCTGTGTGTCCGGCGTCTGCCTCGGTTAGCAGGCTGAAACAAAGCATATATTACATCTTTTTAATAAATAAAAAATTATGCAAATATTCAGTGTAGTTGGGTTAAAATTAAATAAAGCCCTAAGGCAGAGGGGTCAAACTCATTTTGGGCCACATAAAAATCCTGACTGTTATCACAGGTATTGATAAAACCCATTAGCTAATGACTAAAATGTAAATAAATAGCTATGTCTGCATTTCGTAATGACTTCAACATTGAAAGTCTTTTCACAGTGATCAGTTCCTCCAGGATTTCATGTTTGTTTTCGTGATTTTTCTTTGCAATCATAATCATATATTACTTTCAAATTCAAATATTTCAAAGGAATTTTGGAATATTTGCACTTAAGAATGATATTAAATATGACTGTTATAGTTGCCACATCAATAACAGACAATAACGCAACATTAAGTAAAGATGAAATAGCAGAAGTAGGAAATACTGCCACCTGCAGGTGGGAGTTAGATTTTTGTGGAAAATTTGCAATAAACTCACAATTCTGCAGTAGCATGAAAAAATGAGTGGTTCTGTTGATTTTGGTGCGAATTTCTACTACTAAGGGAGTGCGAAAAACTGGAACTGACTGACTGATGTCATTTGGTGCCAAGAGACACACGTGCCCTGGGGAAGCTTTAAAAACGGAAGCAGTTTCTATGCAAACGACCATGAGGGAGGCAGAAATGTTTGCCGTTTAGTTTGATTCCAGTTAGAATTAACCTAACAGGTTTTCAAAACGACATTTCCTCCTGAAGATTCCCCACAGCGCTGCCTCTTTCCCTTTACGGCGACTAATTAAAGGGGCGGGGCACCAGCTGCTAATGCCTCTCTGTTCTCTTTTTAATGAGAAGTAATTGTCTGACATGAAAGCCCATTTCCACCTCTTTGATAAAAAAAAAACAACTCGTATCTCATAATTATGACTTTGCTTCACGATCATAAGATATATTTTTTTCTTCGACAAACCTGGTTCTTTGAAGTTTATTTGACATTATGGGATTGTTCAAAACTCCCAATATTACAAATATTACAACAAATCCTGAAGATTTGCTCAGTGATGTTGGCAACATCCATTTCTTTCTATAATGACAATATTGTCTCATTCATCTCCTTAGAACGCAAGAGAGCCAATCCAAGCTAGCTCTGTTGGCTAAGTCATGATAACGATAATTTCTTTTTGGGGGGATTTCATCAAACACCAAGACTGGCTGTTCTGGGAACCAGAACTTCCAGCTCACTGGTACGTTCTGCTACAGACATCAAATCATGTTGATGTGAGAAATGTAACAAAGCAGAGGAAGTGTGGCCCATTAAATTTAGTCCTGGTGAATAAAATAAGTTTTTCTGTGTCGAATTTTTACTAAATAAGTAAAGACTAGTTTAGACAAACTTCATTAAACCCGTGTGTTCTCACGCTTTCTCCGGGTCGATAAACCAGTCGGACTCCCACTCCCATCCTCTGGGTGGCATGAAGTACTCCTGCTTCAGCTTCAGTTTTCCCGTCACATCAGAGAACTTGTGTCGGCCCACCAGTCCGGTGGTCCCCCAGTTCCCGAACACTTTAGCCTGGTTTTCATACTGCAACACAGGAGACAACACGGTGACTGAAAACGACTGGACAGGCATGAATATCCTTAAACTTGTATCCATTTTCTCTCTCATCACTATGTACTTGTATTTATTTTGTTGATATTTATGTGATTATGTTTGAATAACTGAACAGAGGTTAGTGAACCCACAGCTTAGAATGCCGTTTTATATACCAACTCTCCTTTAAAAGTTTGCCCACATTACAAAGAAGAGGATCGTACTCCGATTAGGAAGTGAAACAAACTGAAGGAAGTTGGGTGCATATTTAGTAGCATCATAGTAAAGGGGGCTGAATACAATAATATGCTTCTCAGTTCAAGTGTTGTTGATAAAGTAACAACTTCCAAGCTGGATGAAACTTTATATTAAAATCTTTATTTGAAAAAAAATAAATAAATAAACTGTCCATAAAAGCTCAGTTGTCGAAGTCTCATACCAGTTCAGCAAACACACTGAAGGTTCCCTCTGAGAAGGCGTTGAACCTTTTCTCGTGTACAGAGAGGCCGAGCCACATGTTGACCCTGACCTGAACCGGAACCTTCAGGCCTTTGGTCTTGTCCATGGGGTACTGAGGGCATGAACACCACAAAGCTTCAACAAGGTGATGAAGAAAGTAGCAGTTCAGGAAATCTAACAGCAGAATCTGGTCCAGCATCTCTTCCCCCCACTACCCCCATCCCACACTGTGTACCTTCAGGAAGATGGTCCGAGTCTGGCCACAGTGCTGCCCACAGGCCTGTTGGCTGTAGGTGGAGTAGAGGATCTGATGAGCCGGGATGCGGCTGTAGGCCACACGCTTCTCGCCGCGCAGCATCCAGATGATCACGTCAGGCATGCTGTTCTGGGGCTGCAGACGAGGAGAATGTTGGCAGGAAAAACTTTGGACATATTAGGAGTTTTTGAAACAATCCCTGAACACCAGCCGGAACCCAGCCTCAAACCTCCGGGCTTCCTGTGTGTGTGTGTGTGTGTGTGCGTGTGTGTACCTCGTTGGCCAGCTGGTTGAGCTTGTCCGCCCAGCTCTCTATATCCGGCAGCGTGTCTGGGATTTCCCTGGCTTCCTCCCTCATGCGACTCGCTGCCATCTTGATGGACGTCAGAGCGTTGTCTCGTAGTTTCTTGATCTGGATGTCCAGAGATGTCAGGTTGGAGCGGCCCTCCAGGTCAGGGGTGGGGAAACTCCACGAGAACACACAGTCAGTCATTATCCACACACGTCAGTCCATGTCAGTACATTTTCTGGTCTTGTTGATTCGTGGTTATTCTGATCCTTTAACCTGACTGACCTCCCTTTCATTAAAGCAGATGTGCACCAACAAACACTTGATGATAACCATTTCTAGCATTTTGTGAAAGGTGTTTAGGCCCTGTTTAAGAGTGAATTAAATAATGCTTGACAATATATCTTGTATCTCAAGTCAAATTTTGATTTAAAACATTTTCATAGTCAATTTTCATAGCTAATAATTTATTCAGTCAAAAATCTGGATTTTTTTTCCCCCCACCAATACACTCCTTGGGTTAGTTAGGAGTGATGTCAGCACACCCAAGACTCATCTTGTTGTTTCAAATTATATTGAATTTGATTTCAGGTCAACTCAAGGAAGAGATGATTGAAATAAAAATCAAAAGTTTTTTGAAAATAATTTTGATCATTTGTAAAATAAATAAATAAGTAAAGAAAGTGAAAGGGTAGGGGGAAGTAAATGATTAAAATCAGGAATCAAATTGGGTTTGAAAAGAATTTAAGTTATTTTGGGAGATTCCCTCTCCCAATACAAAATAGAAATATAGTCACCTTTGTAAAATAATGGCCCAAGTCATTTTTTGACAAAAGTGATTTTTGTGTAAATGTTTTACAAAAAGATAAGAAATTTACAAAATGCTGTAGGATGCATCTCCTGTTAGAAACGAAGGAAATAGAAACTTCCCATTTACCTGTCCAAGTCTTCAATCAACTGATTGAGTAACTTCATCCACACCTCTGCCAGCTGGCTGTCAGGAACTTTAGCCAATATGGCTGTTTTAAATGCATCCAGGTTGGATTGCTAAAACATGAAACACAGAACAAGCAGCTCCCTCTCACATATTCTCAGATCAACTTTAAAGCTGCAGTAAGCAACTTTTATAAAAAAGTTTTATTTTTACATATTTGTTAAAACCGTCACCATGTTGTGACGGAATGGGACAGATAATCTGTGAAAAAGATTATTTCACCACCTCCCTGTGCTTCTGTAGCTGTCTGAAGAAATGCACCACTTCCAGGTCAGAAACAACCAATCAGAGTCAAGAAGAGGGCTTAGAGCTGTCAATCAATTTTGTGTTCTTACTGCTAATTGTGCTGATGGTAGAGAAAGAACTTACAGTTACAGGAAAAACATGTATCAGTCAACACTGGATTAGCATTCAGAACAGACTCTGCTGACAGGGAGAAGCTATAGAGGTAGCAGAAAGCAAGGGAAGGGGGAGGGGAACATGATTGACAGTGACAAGCCCCGCCTCCTGGTACTGATTGTTGTTTCTAGTTGGATTTTTTTCATCTGCCTGATCTTATGTTGCTACAACATAGTGACAGTTACATAACAAATATGTAAAATACATTTTTTATAAAAATTAAATACAGCAGCTTTAACACATCAAGAAATCCCAATAAAATAAACTAAATGCATCAGGCCTTTAGTTAGCAAAGAAAACACAGATGTTACCAGGCGGTGTGTGATGTAGAGGATGATGTTGACAGAATCGAGGCGGTGACCGATGTCCTCCCAGAAGGACGTGAGAACAACCACCGGCTTAGTGTTTGCCCAGGGCAGGTAGTAGTAATGGTTACCTGGGAAACAGAACCACAGGTGAGGTCAAGTGAAACCTTGAAATGTTTCATTTAAAGAGCTTTAGACTGTCAAGTTACACCAGTGACTGTAAAACAAAGAGCTTAATCACGTACCATCAAATACAGCACAGCTGTACTGGGTGGTGGAGGCCAGGGGTTTACAGGTGGTGTCCAGTTTGTTGCCATAGTTACCAATGCTGATCTCAAACTGGATGGGTTCACCAGGTTCCTGAATCATGGAGGCGCTGTGGAAGACTGCGCACAGACAGTATTTTCTTCTTCTCTGGTACTTCTAAAGAATGGGGAAGAAAAAACAGTATGTTAACTTTCATATGATGAAATGCTAGCTATGTTGTGGAAATGATGAAAAGGTTTTAATGGTGATCGGAATGGGATGGTTTTCATCTTGAAACACAAAATTTTTTTCATTCAAATGCATTAAAACTAAGTGCTAATATGCTATGCTAGGTATGCTAACAACCCTCTTCATTGTGGAAGTTATTATTGTGGGAATACGTCTCCTGCTTCAGCAGTTGTCAGGAAAACTAAGAAGCACAAAATATGTTAGAAGCTAATTTAAACTAAACTTTCCTGTCAGTTTTAACATAATTCAGGGCATTTTTCCAGCTATCTTATGGTGTTAATATAAAGCAGGGCTCTCCAGATCCAGTCCTCAAGGGCCGGGGTCCTGCAGGGTTTAGATGTGTCTCTGGTCCAACATACCCGAGTCAAATAATCAGATCACTACCAGAACTGATTCACTAGCATGCACTCAACTTCCCCAGACGTTTGATTCAGCTGCGTTGGACCAGAGACAAGCTGAGGGACCCTGGCCCTGCAGGCCTGGATCAGAAGACCCCTGTTCTAAAGCCCGTGTTCTGATTAAAGACCAGGATTTAGCCTGATCCAGGAGAGCAAAGCGATGTGCCACTCTGCTCATGTTCAGCTCTATCCAGCTGAAGACAGAGTGGTGGAGCATGAGGGGCCTCCTGAGGGGCCACATGGCTGCAGCTGTGATCTGGCAATCTCTGGCTTTAGGTCCCTGTTGTTCATCATGATGGGGCCCAGGGGAGGGGTCATGGTTGTAAAATTCATGTTTTATTGCTTTTAAGTTTTAAACCTCCATCAGAGTTAAAGAGTTCTGTAAGGAATGTGCTTACAGTTTATATTCTGTCTTTAATCCTCTTATGTCTGTTAAAGACAAAAGCAACTGTTGTAACAGTAAGATACCCATTTTTCACACAGTGTGACATCACCTTTGATCCCAACTGAATAGTAACAATATATTATTTTTGTATGGCACTCAAAACATAGAACATAAATATTTCTGTTAGCCATAGCCCTTAAAGAGAAGACATAATTATTTAAATCAGTTTTCCTTAACAAAACAAGATGTTGAAATAATGTCTGATTTTTCCACCAGAATAATCATTAGGAACTCCAAAAGAATGCTACAAGGTTATCATACAAGAGAAAGAAACAGCTAAAAACATAACTGTACTATGAAAGCTCCAATAGGCAAATATAACTTCCTCCATAAACTCATTTCAGGCAACAAACTTGCAATTGAAAAGGGACAATATTATGTATTTTCCAGGCACATATTACAAAAGTAATACAACACTATCAAGTAAATGTTACCTTCAGTCGTCATAAAATCGTCAGTTGCCAAAAGTTGTCAAATATCACTTTAAAGAAATTTGACGCCTTGAAATTGGGCCTCTGTCCTCAATCACTAATAACGTTTTCACCAGCGTTGCACAAAGAAGCAGCTCCTATAATGAGCTCAGTTGACGTTCAGTTCCAGCAGGTGTTTGCTAATTGATGCTGGCTAGTCTGAAAGAGTTGAGTGAGGAAGGGCTCATCTGTGAGGTGGAAGCTCGGGAGCTGGGCGGGGCTAGGTCCACCCAGGCATTTTGCACAGCTGAATGGTTGCAATGGATATTAAAGAATTTCTCAAACACTCCAGGTCTGTTTTTGATGAGGGAATAACATTATAACATGATGTAAAGCTCACAAAAGTCAATGTTACATCATACCGTCCCTCTGAGATGAACAGCTGCTGTACCTGAACCACAAGGATGTCGTCACTGTGGATACTGTCAACTGCTTTGTCTGCTTTCCCCTCCAGCTTCGTGGAGAGCTCCACCAGCACCCTGCCCCTGTACGCCACTCCTTCTCCCTGTAATGAATTCAAAAGATTAGGATCTCAAGATTATCGTACAAAAGAAAGGAAAGGCTAAAAGCAAAATGGTGCCAGTACCTCGCCAAGGTTCAGAGCCTCATAGGGATCTGGGAGGCCCGTGAACTCTCTGGGACTGCCATATAGGTTGATGTAACAGGGGCCAAACAAGGGCAGGAAACCCACCTGAGACTCTCCTGAGTCAGCTGGGGAGACGGCAGCAGAGTTCATCTCTGGACAAACTTACATGAGCAAAGTTCTTCTTGTTAGTAGGTCATGCTGGGAAAGCAGGCAGCAACAAACTGAAGTGACAGGGAGGTGTGAGGTCAACACATAAAACTTATCAGGTCAAAACAGAGCAGAGAACAGCGGTACTAACACTATGCACAAACAGGACTTGAAAACAATTAGACATGGGCCGGTTAGCTAGTATCCAAATGTACCGAGGTTTCAAAACGTTTAGGTTTCACCAACAGCTAAAGATTTTCCGTCAAACAGCTTTAAACAGTGAAGTCTGACATTTTACGTTCCCCACAGGTCTGGTAATTATGAATAGTTTATGCTATTATACACAACCTTCATTCAATATTTTTGGTTTTTGTTTTAAAAATAGTCACCATTGTTTAGCATTTCTATATATGTTAGGGTTAAACATTTTTCTTAATTATGAGAATAGTCAAAATATTACAAGAATAAAAGACAAAAACACCAGAAGAAAATCATTTTAATGAGAGTTAATTTTCAAAAGAGGTTTTAGGATCTGACCTGAGCAGCTCATTCAGCCCGAGGTTCTTTCTTCAAATTAGACTCAGTCGTTTGCACAAATGTTTCAAAGCCTGTCTGTGACAATTTGGTCCTCATGAGTTAAAAGATTATGTCCTATTTGTAAAACTGATAACCATAACTTCACTAGATGCTCAACCTTCATCATTTAGATTTAAGACTTTTTGTGTTGGATTTATAAAATTACCAATTAATTTTACTAATACTACCATTTCAATATGATATTATTTGTGTGCTCTTTAAACTTTATTCTTATACAACTTTTCTCATTATTAAGACTTTATTCTTAATCGGGGGTTTTTCTAAGCCTGGCTCAAATTCTATTTTAGTCAAACTTTGTTTTAAAAAAAAAAAAGGGAAGAAGAACTGAACTGTCCAGGTTCGTCATGTACTCTGGCCGACCTTCATTTTACTAATTTTGCATTGTATTATCCTGTACAATAAGCATTTAAACCTTTAGAAAATGCTTAAGTATTTTTGCTATAGTCTATTAAATGACTTATTCACAACTGAAAATAAAATCTATTGTCTTAAATAAAAACAAGTTTTGTTGTATTGTATGTGCAAAAGGGTAGGCAAGTATAAGCCTTGGCTTCAGCCTATTCCTTCTTTGGTAAACTATTGATTTGTCAAATAGTGTTTTTTTTTTGCCTCCTTTTTTTTTTAGCAATGTTGCAAATTTAACAAAATAAAGCTCATCTGAGTCTGAATCAGATGAGAGCTTCATACCGGCCCATGGCTAATCACAAGTGCTTAGCATGCTCAATGCATAACATCGCATGCAACACAGAACAAAAAGCGCAGGTGAACCTTCAAACGATGGCATTTCCCCATTATCTGCATGTTCCTCTATTCCAAAAGAAAAAAAGAAGAGCAATTTAAAAGTTCTGCTACTTGGATTAGAAAACTTCTCCTCCAGTTTTTGCACTTTTCAGACATTGAACTAAAACAGAAGTCCCGTACCTTCTATCTCTCCACCAGAGGAGGCTATCTTGGTCAGGTTCAGGTATGTGGTGCCAACAGCATCATTTCCTGTCAGCCGATCCCTGCAGCCAAACATCAAGTAAAGACATTTCATTCTTCCCTGCATTTTTTTAAAGTACACACGAAGTGAGTTATTATGGTTTCATTACTAAATTAAAATCTTTTATTTTGTTGCTCTGAGTCTGGACGTTTTCTGCATGGCATCAAATTACACCGAGATTTAAATATGTTATCAACGCCTAACCTAACCTTTTCCTCTTGAACTTATTTCCCTCTGGCCTTCCTGAACCTGAGCTATGTGATCAGAAACTGTGATGAAAATTAGCTCAGCGCAGCCAACAGAACATGTTATTGAGGGGAAAGGGAAGGGCCACCACAGTCTGAGTCACTGCCCTGCATTATTCTCAAGTGGTTGTTGCTGGGCCACACACACACACACACACACACACACACACACACACAGTCGCTGACCACATTGCAGAAACATGGAGGCACAGTTTCCCAGCTGGAATTCACTCCATCAAAACAATACACTGCTGCAGCCTGGATGCTCTGAAACAGAAGAACTCACCAGTCGAACACGGTCAGCTTGATGCGCTCACACATGGACGGGAACTGCAGTGAAGACAAAAACTCATTTCCACTAAGCTTTTCTAAACTTGATCGTCTTTAACAGGATCAGGACTTCTTACTTTGACTTGAAGGTTCAAAACTTGGTTCCACTCTGGGTTCGCGTTCCTCTCAATGATCTGAGTGCACAACTGCAAACAGAAAAACACCGTTATTAGTTTTTTGTCTCAGCAGGTAACATTTATGCTTTTTTATTAAAGGACTTTGACTAGGACTGGACAATAAATAAATAATAATATATCGTGATAGACAAGTGATTAATATTAATAGATAATATATCTAATATAATATTCAATATAAAAATATTCACTGAAATCTGAGCAATAACCGCACAGCATTCTGGGAGATGTAGGCAAAGGAAAGGCTTTAGCAGCTACCTTTCACAGCTAGCTAAGTTAGCTGGGTGGCATCAAGTAACTCACTCTTTGGTTACCTAGCAACAACATGTTGAGTGACTTGTGCAGCAGCAGTTTCAGGTTTTGCCACCGTTCCTCATAACTACTCAAAAATTGAAAAAATTAAAAACGATTTGAAGGGAAAACTGGATAAAACATTAAAAGTTTGGTTGTACTTCAAATATTTGAAACTAAAATCTAATCAATTATTAATATCGACTGATAAGAAACACTTCTATCAGGATCTGTTTTTTTAGCCATCGTACATCCCTAACTGGCTAACAAGTCTGGGTTGAGTTGAAACCTTTTTGCCAGCAAACCGCGCCTCTAGGAAAGGATCCACCAGGTTCTTCTTGTTTTCCTCTCCTCCAAAGATCCCTTTCAACGTCTGGACAAATGCATCGTCCACTGAAAAAGAGAAAACAAGGCGTCATTTGTTTTATCAGACAGAGATTCATGATCTGATTGATTTCGTCTCGTCTTACTCTGGGGAATGTCCTCAGCCCTGAACACCTTTAAGGACAGCGTGGCCCACCGCAGGGTGACCCCTGCTGGCAGCAGCAGGTTGCTCTCTATGTCGTCCTGGTCGTCACTTGATTCCCTCTTTTCCACCTACAATCAGAACAGAATCCAAAAATAAAATAAATGGAAAATGGGAGCAGATTCTGTGGTTGGTAGTGAAATTGAGGCACATGTAGAATCAGTGACTACATACCGGAGGCTCGTCTCCTGTTCCCACAACAAACAGGCTGACTTTGAGGTAGCCTTTAGCGCCGGAGCTGGAGTCATCTGGGTCATTCAACAGGAGCCACTTCCTCATCACACAATGGGCTGCAGAATGACCACAAATATGATCAGGACATGAGAATCAGATGCCCTGGCCTCTTCCACTTGGCAGCAAGCAGAGAAAGATTCAAGCGCTCCTTGGCGGTTTTCAGTCCATACTGATGCGATTTCACAGTCGCTGGAGTTTTATGATGAAACGCTTCCATTCCAGTACAAATGTGCTGTGTTGGATTGAAATCTTGTGACCGTTGAGGCCGTTGGGGGACAGTAAATTCACTGTCAAGTTCAGGAAACCAGTGGACTCGTTTGAGATTTGTGACAAGGCGTGTTATCCTGCTGGACGATGAGAAGGACATCAGCAGCACAAACATGTTTAAAGGACCCAAAATGTGCCAAAAAAAATAAAAACATCCTCCACAACACCTGAACTGTTGATGCAAGGCAGGGTGGATCCATGCTTTTATGCTTAAGGTGAAGTTGCGTCTGAAGCTAAAGGCAGCGCTTTTCCAATCAATCATTATCCAGTTTTGGTCAGTCTGTGTGAGCTGCTGTCTGTTTCCTGAACCTCTCTGTCAGGAGTGGCCCCTAGTGTTAACATCTGCTGGTACAGGCCATTTGTTTCAACGTTGTGTTTTGTTCAGAGATGATATTCTGTATTCCTTGACTGTTTCCCATGTATGATGTTAAAATCAGTCATTCTCCTCTGATAAGGATTTTTCATCTTCATCGTTTTTCTCCCCACTGGATATTTTCTCCTTTTTGGACCAATATGTAAAGCCAACAGAGTTTTGGTTTGAAATTTCTGAAACTCCCAAATGACAAATGAACAGACTGCATATCTGATGAAGCGCTGGTGAGCGTGTATTGTACTGATGGACAGTTTTGGCTGTTTCAGTTACAGCTTATATTTTATTAGAGATTTGTTTAGTTGTCTGAGTTTACACAGTCAGATTAACAAATATGTAAAGGCAGCGTTAGCACAATGAATGCTGCTTTGCTCCAAGTCAGATGTATCTTTAGAAACATACAGGAAGAGACGTATGAACACAGCAGCAACTTCTTGTCACTAGAACCTTGCAGTTTAGGAGCCAATGTTGTTTGCCTGTCATTTTTTCAACCCTTGCTCATTCAGAGTATAGAAGGCAAATACTGCAGAGTTTTTTTTATTGTTTGTAGTTTTAGCCTCGTTTTGGATTTATATATACATGCCGTCGCATGTGTTAGCCATTCAATTACATGTGCTTCTGGATGCCTTACCCTGGGATTTATATGGAGTGAAAATAGTCTCCATATTTTCACTCCACAGATTTATATCTTGTTTAAAGTTGAAACTGCTTGCTGTAGTCAGTACACACTGCTTGTTTAAATCTGAACCAAAACAGGAGCTTTTCTGTGCCATCTATAGCGAACTCACCCATGTTTATTATTGTGAAGAGTTCGGAGATCATGTCTGAAGGATTTTTTGAACCAAGGTCTGGTGTGATTTCTTTGAGTTTTTCACATTTGTACTTTGAGTTTTGCAGAAAACCATTTCAAAATAACTCTCAGAGTCAGACTGAAGAGGTTCAGACACCTGGAGTGCTATTGGAACTTCAACAGAAAACTTGGAATTTCTATAGCTGTTACAGCTAAATGTCTGAAAAATGAAAATTTTTTTCTACAAAATGCCAAAAATAACATGTGATCATGAGGGCTTCGGACTGCGCTGCCCCGACCTTCACCAGGCAACAATTAGTTTCTCTCTCTCCGAGAACTACTTCAGCATTTTCATAACAACATCGAAAGCTACATATTGACTTATAGATAGAAAGTTGGGTAACACTTTATTTGACTGGGTGTGCATAAGGCTGACATAACGCTGTCATAAACATGACATGAAGGAGTCTTTATGTCTATGACTGTTGTCATGAAGTGTCATTCAGTAAATAATAACACTTTTAATGCAAAGTTGCTTTAAAAGTTGCACTGAAAGTCCATTAAAAGTACCAACTTTGCATTAAAGTGTCATTATTTACTGAATGAAACTTCATGACAACATTCATAAAGACAGGTGTTATGTCATGTTTATGACAGAGTCATGTCAGTGTTATGCATACCCCGTAAAATGAAGTGTTACCAAAAGGTGTTTTAAAAATCCTCTTAAATTCCCTCCAGAAGTGACAAAAAAGAACAAAACTTTCAAACAACATGGACTTGAAAAACACTTAACTCTGTGTGAACATACCTGGTTCATCATAAACATAACCAATGTCCAGCTGCGTGAAAAAAACAAGGAGAGGCCTGGTTGAGACACAAACACTTATAAAAATTAATAAGTATGAGTGGTCGCCACTTAATACTTGCCATGAATTCACCCATAAGGCTGTCTGCCCTCAGCGAATATGAATTATACACCTATAAATAAAACAATCAGGTTTTATGCCGGAGCATCCACACGGACAGACAGAAAACCACAACATTTCCATGAGCTGCACCAACCCTGAAGCTGATGTTCTCTTCAAACAAATCCGACGGCAGCATGTGAACGTTGTAGAAGAAGATCTGCAAGAAGCCAACAACCAATCACACGAGGATCCACGAGAGCCGGAGCAGAACAACAAGCAGGAACACTTAAGCTTGTATCGTTTAAGTTAGATCGGAAAAAAGATGAAACCTCGTCAAAAAACGGGTTGTTTCCCTTCTTGATCCTCGTCCGGTGGGTCTGTCCACACACATGGACCTTCACCACAGGCTTGATGTTATTTCCGGACAGCTGACGGGCTTCCACGACCCGAACACGGATCTGGAGGACAGAGTGGATCAGTTCATGAGTGGACTGCATGTAAAGAAACAACAGGATTAGAGGGGAAGTAGGTAACACAACATAGTCATGTCACCATGTAAGTTCACACAATCACCTGTCTATTCAAGATTACTTAAATCATCTTGTTTGAACAAAACGTGTTTAATCATGGCCGGAAAAAAACAAAAAAATAGCTGTCTTTCTGTAGCAGAATTCTTCGATGTTTTTCCCTTGTAGGGTGAAAGTCGAGATTCTGGGAGAAACAATTCAGACGTTTTTCAAACTGAAAAAGCTGCAGAAGTGGTTTTCAGTGATTACTGATTTAATCAGAATACTGTTTGATTAAATCAGTGATCCGTTGACCCGGTCTGGGTCACCAGGAGTGCAGAAAATGCCTTCAGGATTTAAAAAATGTGCTTTAACTGAAGAATTTTAGGGTTACGCTATTCTACAGATGTGTTGACACACACCAGCTGAAAATGTGTAAAGGAAAAAAAAAAACACCTTTGAATTGAATTCTTCTGTAAATGCAGGAGGATCGTCTCACAAAAAGAGAAAACAAGTCAACGTTAAATTGAAGGAGATTTACATAGTTGTGAAAAAAGGTTTCAACGAAATCACAGATGCTAATCTTTGTTTTATGTTTTTCTAGTTTATCAGAGTCACTAATTAGTTATTCATGACTTTCTGTTTCCATGGAGCATAAACACACTGTGACAGAAGCCTCATTTCTCTCGGCTCCTGACCCCTGAGCTGGACAACAACCCACATTTATCCTTCCACCACACAGAGAGGAGCCCTGCCAGGACAGCTCATTTCCTGGACGATAAATCGTCCCAGAAGTTATGATAAACAATAATGTTGTTCCAAGACCATTTTCACGTAATATGATGTAAATGGCATAAGAACACATTCTCAAACATCAATAAAGTTTAAATCTAACAAACATTTAACACTGGAAGTGAAATACATTTTAAATATCCAGAATAAAAAAAGAAAATAACAGAAACAGTAAATAAAACTGAATAATTGAGGCCAATGAACCATAATGAAGACTTCTGTTGGCAGAATGACAAGGAAAACAATCCTGTAAATGGAAGTCATCGAGCTGGCTTTAACTCGTCATGTGATTAATTGATTCATTGGTTATTGTAACAGTAATGATTTGTAACAGGCTTAATGATGAGTAGGATGGCAATGAAGCTAAACCTCCAAACTCACCTTGACAGATTCCTGAAAATCACATCTTGGTTTTACCAAGTTTCCATAGCTACCGCTGGATGCACCGACAATATGCTTTAGTGTGATATGCTTAAAACTATTTGGCAACAGATATTCAAGGTGGTGTTTTTGGGTGAAGCAAGTCTCACATCCACTGTTATGTACAGTGGAGGATATGTGATGCTGTGGGCCTTTTCCTTTCCCAAAGTCAGAGTCATGGCCTCATGAGTTGTTTGAAATACCAGATAAACCCGCTGGGCTGGAACACAACCTGCTCCCACCAATGACTTTGTTAAAAACAGTTATTTCTTAATAGAGGATTTGCTCCACTCTTTATGAATTGAAGTTAAAATGTTTGATTCTTGTACATTTTTCAGTAAGGAATTATTCTACTGCAACACAACTGGATGATTTGAAGAAGCATATGCATTTCAGTTCTGAAGTCATGAAAAATTACCACCAAAATGTCCATAAATAAAAACTACTGAACTGACCTGGAAGTCCTGGGGTTTATTGGCAAGTCGGTGGCGACTCTGCGCCCGGTTCAGCCTCTGGCGAAGAGCCCCAGCCTGACCGGAGGACGAAGGGGCTCCAGCTGGGCCACTCTGGGCCCCGTCTGGAACAGTCTCATTCCCCTCCTCATCCTCACCCCCTCCTGATAGGCACCAAGGACAGAAAAGACCCGAGATTCAGCAAACTAAATCCAGTCGTGCAGCAATGCTTCACTATGAAACAAACAGACCGGCGTCCACTGCAGCATTTCCATCTTGGGGGTCATTGGGGTTCGGCACGGCATTGGCTGGAGGGTCATAGGCAATCACCAGGTCTATCGTAGCCTACAGGGAAATGAGAACCTGCTCAGCTCTGTTTCATTCGACTTGTTTAACGTTACTTTTACAATACAACACTCACTCCGATCCCCTTCCCGCTCTCATTGACCAGAGGAACATTTTTGCATGGCAGAGATCTCGATTTTCCAGAGGCAAGATCTCGCAGAGAGACCTTAGTGGACCCAAGGAATCTACAAATCAAAAACAGCAAACAGAATTGTTTCCATGTTGTAAGGTAAAAGTCAGCATGCCTGCTTTGCTGATTTTATTCCGTAACATCCAGTCTGCAGACCGGCTTGGCTGCAGTCGGTCAGGATGTCTTCGGTGACAGGGACAGTGGATATGCTGATGTGTTCTCAGCTGAGGTCACATTCACAGAAAGAGCCCAGAGAGGGAAACCACCCAGAGCTAACAAGCCCTGCCTTTCACAGACAAACAAAACTCACCACGAGGAATATCATTTCACTCTTCAATCTGTCTGCCCGGGATTCTGCACACTGCTAGTGTCCAAACAGCTGAGAACTACCAGAGTTGGTGACTTCATCACCTGCTGTATGTGGAGGTGAGGCTGCAGCGTTGGGACCTCATCGTGCACTGAGCTGTGTGAACAGCAGGGCTGGTGGAGTGGTTCATGGATTCTCATGTCTTGTTGGATCATGTGCTGCCGCCCTGCTGTTACCAAGATGATTATCAGTAATGCTCTAAATAATACTTAAAATTGAGAAGTTCTTCATCAATCTTTTACAGCTGGAGTATGCAACTTTAAAAAAAAAAAAACTATGTTTTTTACATATTTGTTGAAACTATGTTGTGACAACTTGGTATGAGAGATAATCTGAAAAAACTGAACTCCTCCGTCTTCTCCCGGTGCCAACTAGAAGCAACCAATCAGAGACGGGGGCGGGTCTTGGTGCTTGTCACCCCGACCCCTTCTTCTCTGCTACCACTACAGCTTTTCCCTATCAGCAGAGCCTGTTGTGAATGCTAATGCTAGTTAGCAAAGCCACTTATGATGGCAGACAACAGTTTTCCTCTTACAGCGAGTTGTTTCTCCGCCATTAGCCCATTTAGTAGAGAACATGACGTTGATTGACAGCGCCAAGCCCCTCCTCCTGGCTCTGATTGGTTGTTTTTTTGTGCATTTCTTCAGGGTGGAGGAGATCCATCTTTTTACAGACTATCTGTCTCAAACTGTTACAACATGGTGAGAGTTAAAAACATTTTTATAAAAGTTACATACTACACTTTTAATGGTTTAAAATCTTTCATGCGGGGTGCATTTGAATTTAGCCACCTTTAGCATTGTCAATTAAAATACAATGCAGTCAATTGATTTTATAAGTCACCCAGTTAGTAAGCTGAGCTTACAAAATGTCTAGAACTTAATCTCAGTATAAATCCAGAAGTTCAGTGAAGACATGAACACAAGACTAAGGAGGATAAGAAGAAGAAAATAATGACCTGCTTGACTGGGTAGGACATACTGTGACATGACATCACAGATACAAGATCCCGCCCTCTGATGGAGGGACAAAAGCTGCTCGTTGATATGACAACCACTGATTCTAGCTGGCAACTCGCTAAATCTTAAATGTACACCTGATATATAAAATGAAAGGGGATGAAGTGTTTTGCTACCAATTGTCAACACTGCGACAACTACATTACAAGTTCAGGAAAAAAAATTTATTAAAAGCAAATAACAATGGAGAGGGAAGTAGGTCAGTTATAGCTTGACCTTAGATCTGTAGACCAACCAAAAAGGTTTATAGTGGCAACTGGAAAGAGAGACAGATCTGTCATGTGGAGAATATGGAAAAGACTGTAGGGCCTCAATTGTGAGAGTAAATTGGAGCATGAATTTATTAGGCAGAGTCACAACTGGTCACTACACCGACACATAGGACACAATTTTAGACAAAACTAAAGTTAAAATCTTTGAAGCAAAGAGTAACGGTGGTTGTGCATGATTATTCCAAAGTGAGCACAACAAACAAAAAAGAAAAAAAAAGGTTTCATCTTTGTAAACTTTGAAGTGGGGGTCTCACACTGGAAAGAAAAATACCCAGAGGTCCTTTTAAAATTGAATTGTGTCAAGAGGATTTTTTAAAGGAGGAGCTCCAGGGAGATGAAGCTCTTGCATTGCTCCGTCACCAATTTCCCCTTCAGAGAACAAACCTGGATCATCTGCTGAATGGAGCACCAGTTCTGGATTCTAACTTGTTCAGTTCAATGAGTTTCTGTTGCACCACTTTCAGCTAAAAGAGTTCACTTATTAAGACATCAAGTTGTACATTAAACCTGTATCCACCCATGATTAACAAACACCAGCATTAAGATGAGGGCACATTACAACAATTTCCTTCTAAACAGACAGTGAACAGCTTACAGAGAACATGCTGGGATTATGAACTTCCTCTGTAAATATCCAGTGGCTAAATCAGGCTATGAGTCTTTAGTTGAGCCGTGGTGAGTCAGAGAGAAATATGAGCAGGATATAATCCTTTGTATCACTTAATGGCTGAAGGTAAACAGTTCTTCCTTTGTCAACAAGCTGACTTATTCATATTCAGTTGACAGCAGTGCCACTTGTCCTTGTGGTCATAGCAAAACATTCATTTGGCTTCTTGTTCTCAGCAGAGATGAGAAACGCTTTAAAAACACTTGACGCAAAAAGGCCTCCAGTGTGTTTAGCTTTGGTTTAATAAAGAACAGAACATTCCAATTAACAGATGTCCATTTACTGTCTAAAACCTCTGATCATATAGTTAGAATGAGCTAGATATTAGACTCCCAAGTCCAAGACGAAGGATCACTTCCTCAGTGAGGAAAGCAGCAGCCGCAGCAGCCTGAACACATGCAGTCTTTTGAACAGATCTTCACACATCCTTCAAACCCCGCCTCCCACCCCTCTACAACATTAGTCTGCTGCTGGAGTGACATCCCTATGTGGGACATAACAGCCCACTAATACATCTACTACACTAGCCCCCTTTTTTCAAGAAGCAGAGTCTCTTTGCCAGAGCACCAAACAGCCACAACACATTTAGTAAAAGAACAAGAATACTGGGTTTTCTATTGAACACAGAAGGAAGTGATGTAGAGTCATAGTTCTTTTTGATTCATCTTTTCTTCAGCTCTTAACCATAATGACTTAAATGAGTGGACCTCTCTCCCCAGTGTTAGCATGTTTGGTCAGAAACCAATGCTAAAGCTCTGGGTCATGGAGAGGGTATGCAGTTCTAAACTGAACAGAATTCATTTTTGTTCAGATCTTGATCTTCAAGGTGGATCCAATCCAGGTAACTTTACAGCTTGGCTCCACTTGTAAGGCATTACAATATGTACTAGTGAAGGTCACTTCCAGAGGTAATTTTGCCCTGAGGTGCTTTGAACTGTTTGTTTCATCTAGATGCCAAGACTGGGGATTATGGCAAAAGTACATGACTTCTGTTTGCATAAAACCAGCTTGTATGGATGAGTTACAACTTGCAACATTTTCCCAGTGAAGTCAGTGTGGGTGTGGAGTGGTTGCTTTGCATTCCAAAAAAAACTGAAGATCTGAATCCAGCTTAAAGCTTGAAGGGCAGCAAGTTGCCAGATAATCTGTATATATGTCTGAGTTAATGGTTGAATATTGATCTAGCATAAAGAGCTCTGATTGGTTGATGTGACTGGAAAAGTTCAATACAAATTCTGTTGTTTTTTTTTAACCATTCAGTAGATGCCCTCTGTCCTGAAGTTCAGCTCCAGTTGTCCTCAGTGCCAGGCTTTCAGTCACAAACCATTTCGCTGCTTCTTTCCAGCGATGAACTATAGAAAGCATAGTATCCTCTTTCTGTTCTGCTGCATGCAGCTCAGTGGTTACTGTAAACATCAGCCTCCACTTGTTTCCGTTTCTCTGTTCTCTTTCCAACTTGTTGCACAGAAACATGTCTGATCACCAGTGGAACCACACAGCCAACAATCCAATCAGACCCACTGTGCTGTGTGTGAGTGAAGGCATCCTTTATATGGAGGCTCTCAACTTTGCCTAGTTTTTACAAGTGATAGTTTCTTGACCCTTCAGTAGCTCACCTTGATCTGCACTTGCACATTGGCAGTCAGAGTGATCTTCAAAGTAAAATTGATACTTGCATGGTTCTTTAAACCAAGCATCCAGTTGTGTTCAGGATTTTTGAAATAAAAGAGTCAGGTTGGACTTCTGTGGCCTACCCTAAGGAGAAATGTTCTGCCCAGAAGGAAGTGAAGGCATTCTTGTGCATTTGACAATGGCCAGCAGCCCTGTTCTGTTTCTGCTATTAGCTTTTTAGTCACACACACTTGGCAACAAGGAAAGACCACAGCTCTCAGCTGCCTCCATCGCCTCAAGGCCAGAGAAACAGGGAAACCCTGGGCAGAGCTAAAAGACTGAGGGGACAACCCTGAAATAATTTAATGTCCTGTTATGGGTTCCGTCTTTTCCTCTCTCTTTTAGCCTCTTATGTGTGACTGCTATCAGTCACACATAAACAGACTGAAACTGATTAGACTAACCTTTAGGGAGGGTACAGATCACAGAGAAGAAAAAAAGCTAAACTCTACAATCTTTGCCTCACTTGGTCACATCCCTAGGTGAGCCAAGTGTGGCTCCAGCACTGGACGATGAATGTAACTCTATATCCATTTCTACGACATGTATGGCTTAAAACATTTGATCATGTTTCGGCATCATCTCATTATTTTTCAAGGTAATTTACACTGAGGGGTTCTGGTCAGGTCCTGGGTAGTGAACAGAGACAAAATTAACTCCAACAGTCCCTTAAATTAAACTTTGAAGTTCAGCTACTTTATACTACCGAATTAGACTGATCTTCAGATCAGCCTGTCCAGCTCAAAATAACTTCTCTTAGGATTGAGAAAATGAGGCTTTTGACCTTGAACAGAGGAGAAGTTAGAGAAATATCAGTGGATTAATGTCGCAAAGAGGTTGGGTTTTAGAAAACAGTCCAGCCATGTGGAAAGAGACAAATTTCCTGATGACTTCCTATTCAGGTCAGTGTGTCAGAGCTTTATTTTTTCAGTTGCCCCGTCTTACAGACACTTCCAGAATTATTCCTGAGGAAACATGGTGGATCCTAACCATGGTCGGGTGTGTATGCCATATGAAAAAGGAAACCCGCTACAGACCCCTGACTTACAGGATTAGAAGGGTGTTGGTTTCAGCTTCACAGCATCGTATTTGGCAACATATCTGCTTTAAAACATAATATTCTTCTGATCTGCTAATGTGAGTACAGTTGCTGCATTCTTTAAGCCACCACAGAAACAATCTGGGTTGTCCATTTTCATGCCAATGCTCAGATCCCATTGGGGTAATTAAAGGAATTCCATTCTCATGCTTAAAACGCTCTGGATTCAGAGCTCTGATCTTTCCTACAAAGACATGCTAACAATTACACGTACAAGATTCTGCACCACAATGCTCTTTAAAAAGAAAATCTGGTTATCAAGACCAACCTGTTGCCATGATAACAGGAAATAACCCATTAGCAGCTGGAAAACTATTTCAGAGAAAGCACTGCTCCCCTCTGCCAGCACAGTTTAAATCTTCTGGGAGTGTGTCAGGCAGGACAGCAGAGTGGAAAACTGAGCTCATGCTCTGGAAACGCACCTCCCTCCGAATGACTGCCCAGACACAAGGGAAACTTTTACTCAGCAAAGCACATGCAAAGAAAATTTGGATACAGCTTTACATATTTTATATTTATAAAAACAATTCTCTAACTCTGGGAGGTTCTTTCAGTATCAGACGAGTCTTTGTCGCCATAACTAGTGATGGTCAACAAGGATAGAAAGTCTTTTGTGGTTGGCACAGATTGGACCCACATGTTTCTTTAATTAAAAGGCAACATCCAGTTTATGGCTGTAGTAGTTCACAGTGGTCGAGTTTCTTCCTGTTTGCAGCAGAAATTTTCAGCGTTCTGTAGACAAATCCAACTCAGACTGAAAACTAACAGAGAGGCATTGTTACTCAGTCAAATTCTGTCATCCCACACCGTCCAGCAAGTCTCAGCATGGTGAAGTGGGTGTGATCGGGTGGATTCAGCCAATAACTTCATTTCTCTGAAATTGTCAAACTTTCCTTGAAAACTATTCATTAATCTCATTAATGTGTTTGGAAGACAAATCAGTGCTGCAGAGAGGAAGAAAGGTTTTCTAAAAACTCAGATTGTACAACGGCAACTTTAAGGTTTTATCAAAGGAAAGAGTTGATGCCGACTACCTCATTACTGAAATCCCTTTGTTGTGTAAAACCAACAGCAAGCCCAAGAAGCCTTCAGGCTGTATTTAACTCACTTATCTTTCCCAATCGTCTCGTAATCTTTCACAACCACGTCTAGCTGTGAGCCGGAGTCCAGCGGAACGCCTTTTAGATCAAACTCCAGCACCTGAAGGAACACGAAGAGTAAATACTGCTGTACTGGGACAATCTCATGATGATATTAAACTATTGATTGGTGTTGCTTTACAGTGAGGGGTCACTCTGATGGGGTCACAGTAATGATGTGCTGAGTTGGAGGAATGATGAGTGTTTCTGCTGATTACCTCATTCCAGACAGGGTTCACTTCATTGTCAATCGATTTGGTTTTCTTCTTCTCATCTGGAAGAGAAACGCTTCATGAAAACAGGAAGGTTGTCATCGTTGACAGATGATGATGAAGATCATCATGGGAGGAGTGCCTGAACCCAGGAAGCATCCTGCAACACTTGTTGATTGACATCAACTTTAGCTCAACTAGAATTATCAGGATTTAAAACTTTGACTCAAACATCTAAACGTTTCCACTACAGTTACAGTAATTTTGTAGCTTCAGGATAATTTTTTCCATAATTTCCAGCTCGTTTCTCTTAGTCATCACAGTCGTGAGGGTGTGTGTGTGTGTGTTCCTGTAGATCCAGGATCAGCCACTCCCCAGCTGGCAATTTTAAAGTTTTTGTTTTACAACATAGGATCCTGTTTAGGTCAAATTAGCCACATGTATATCTTCAATTTAGCATTAATGAAATGTATAAATATAGCACATCAATCATGATCAAGTTTTAAATAAATATTTGTAATTTCTTTCTTTAAATTTCACCTAACTTTTTACAAAAACAAAATATTGGCTTTCAAATCAGTCTGAACATGGAACATTTGCCTTGAAATGAGACGTACCTTTGAAAGTCACAGAAACGATTGGGTCAGGACTGCCGAGTTTCTTTTTGGGGAGACCCGTGGCAGACTCTACTATGACCCGCAGCATGGCAGCGAACAGGTAGGACAAAAAAATAAAAGTTAGAAAGAAAAGTGGTTGTAGAAAAGGGAAAAGCTCTACAGGAAGTCCAGTTTCGGCATCCTCATTGCTCCATCACCGAGAAGAACACGAATGAACGTTTTATTTGCAAGAGTAGTTAGAGGAGGGGGGAGTGAGAGGGCGGGTCATGAGATTCTAATTATCCAGACTACAGGAGCTGCTGCCGGCGTGGAGGTCCGAGGAGGAGGAGGAGAAACGTGTCCGAAGCAACTGCCGCTTTAAATATCTTACTAATTAATTAAATTATGTCATTATTGTTGTCAAATCCAAGATTACACAAAAACTAACCGGTTAACTCGCTCACTTAAATGTGTTGTCATTTGACTCCATCTAGCGGTCAAATTGGGAAACGCACCACTTAAAATGTTATACAGAAATGAGTAGAAAAAAAAAGATTTTAACGTTGTAACTGTTGATCAATAACAGCAGAGGATCTCAAAAAATAATGACAAATGAATAATTTAGGCATCACCACAGGAATTCAAGATTTTAATTAAATAGTTGTTTATTGTTCTAGGTCACTGAGCTGCTGTTTATGCCTGAGCGAACTGCAACTTAACTGGAGTTTAATTTGGGATTTTGGAAGAGGGCGGTTGGTAGACCCCAGAAAAACTCACCAGACATCAGCAGCAGCTGAGGTAAACACTATTGATGCTCTATTCTAACCCCAAACACAGATCTGAGTTCTTCTCAGTCTCTCGCTGCTGATGCAGTTAAGGATTGGACTATTCCAATTCAAAGCTCTCACATGTACATCAACATTTCCTGTTCTGAAGAGGCGGTTCTGCCTTCCAAGGCGGCTAATCAGGTAATGCACAACAGCTTGCTGCCCTTATGTTAACTGGGTAGGGACATTTTGGGGCCTTTCAAAATAGAGAATAGCTGAAGTAGAACAAGATTCGCCAGCAGGTATTTATCCATCTTTTACATTTTTACAAACTTTGTGTTTTGGAAATGGAATAAACTTTATTCAGATAATCTGGATAAATATTGCCTTCATTGCATGTTACCCACTGGAAACATTTGACCTTTTTTTCCTCGGTAACTATTCACCAAATCTCTACGACCGCAATAATGATACCTTAACTTTGTCTGAGGTTCAGTTCCTCCAATTAAGGGGCGTTTCCTTCCGGACAAATCGCGACCGCTGATTGGTCAGTTGTTGATAAACCCGCTGTACTGATTGACATATGACGTCTTCTCCATTCACTCTTGTTTCACTTTTAAACTTAACTGGTGAAATATATTTACATTTCGATCATATATAAATTTATTGAGATTAATTTGTTTAGTTTTTCAAGGAACTGAGCAGCAGATCCTTCCAAAAAATGTTAGCCCTTTATTGTACTGTTGCAGAACTACCACATGGGGGCGCTGCCTTCTCGCGAGAAGGCATCGCTTTTGCCGTAAAGGTTTTAACCTCCGTAAAACACTGTAAAGTCAACAACGTTTTAATTGGTTGACATCAATATGTCAACGTTGTTTTACATTTTCATATTTGATATGGATATGTTTCAACTATTCGACTATGATCACCTTTACCTTCACTACTGACATTTGACATTGCACCAAAACCCATCATGTATGGGTAGAGATTAGTCAGGTAAGAAAAAGTGTGTTCCTGAAAGTGTCGAGCAAAGAAAATCTACACCATTCCACCAAACTTCAGATGTTTCACTACATCCTGTTCCATACATACGCAGGTAGACTGTCAGCAGCTGTGGATGAAAAAAACTGAAGGGAAGCTAAGACGTGTCGCCTGCCAAAATGTCATTCAGTTGCTCACCTTTGCTTTGTTAGAAAGGATAACATTTCAAAAACTCCCTGTAAGAGCTAAAGCTGACGACACCCAGGAAAAAGTTCTGGTTGCTGTGTGCTGTGAAGTCAGAACCTTGACCTGGGAACAACATCAAACACAACCTACCCAGTCTGAGTTGAATAGAGGCCAATTTAACCTAAATTAACCAATAATGTGTTACTCACAGGGTGCAAGCAGTCTGAAGAATCAGATCAAGCAGTCCAAAATGGAAACCAAGGCTGGGTATAGTAGAAAAATCAACTAAAACCCATAAAAAAGTTGTAAAGAGCTAAAATCTAATTAATAATTATGACTATAATTCTCATTTAATTCAAAAATACTTTAAGCCTAAAGGTGTAGCTCATAGTATTTAAGGTTCTTCAAAGAGTTATTGTTGATGGCTGTGGGCAGGAAGGATCTTCCGTAGCAGTCTGTGTTACAGTGACATTGAAGAAGCCTCTGACTGAAGATACTGTAACACAGTCTCCTGAAGAGGATCCATAATTTCCTTGATTTCATGAAGAATCTGTCTTGTATCATCTTCTCCAACGGTCCCACAAACAGAGCCAGATCAGAGCCAGAACAGAGCCAGAACAGAGCCAGAACAGAGCCAGAACAGAGCCAGAACAGAGCCAGAACAGAGCCAGAACAGAGCCAGAACAGAGCCAGGCTTCTTCATCCTGGGTGATGAGAATAGGACAAATGTTTATTTTGACACATCTTCATTTGGCTTTGGACTGAAATGTAACTTAGTAAAATTTGAATGAACTTGATTTTTTTTGTATATTTGCTCTATATTCTTTGCAGATTGTCACCATGTTTTTGAATAAGTGGAGGAACATTCCCATCTACTCTTTCCTTTCACTTCTGGTGGCTTTCCAAAGCGTTCCACTGCAGGCCGCGTGGAGAAATGTGACAGCAATCTAACCAATATATAAAATAACTGGCTAATTTTCTATTTACCTCCACCTTTGCATGCTTCCAAAAATAAATCTGATTGGCTTTCATTTCCTTGCAATATTTACTTTTTAATTGTTTTAGTTGTTACAATTGTATTTGTTGATGCAACTGTAATTCTTCATACTTCCAGTCATTATCCTCAGGTTTTCAGGGTTGTTTATGAAAACCTTTTGTCAGTTCTGCCTGTTAATCATTAACCTACACATCGGAAAATGTCAACAACTGGACAGCTGGAGGTCAGGGTGACTCTGACCTGACATGTAGAAAAGTTATTTTAACCAGCCTCAAATGTTGTTGCTATTTTCTAGAGCATATCTTGATTTAATTCTGTCTTGAAGAAGAACTGCTGATTTTTCTGATGGGAGGGCAGACATCTTGGTAGGCAGTGAGTGAAGACATCACTAAACTGGGTGGTGATGCAGCTTTTTTATGGACTGCAACAAGTTTAGAATTAAGACTAAAACTTCTAAATATTTATTTAGGTTATCAAAATAAATGTTATAAAAATTGTTTATGTTTAGATATAAATTTTTCAGTTTGTTTGTTGTAAATTTTAGGGAGTGAATGTGCCAAAGAAAGTTAATGAATGATATATTTCATTATTAGTGTTTCAACAGTCTGGCTTAATAAAAACCAAACATGTGAAGCTCAGTATTCTTGTTAAAAATGTTAGCAGCGTGAACATGCCAAAGTTCACTAGATTTACAACTTTTGGTTGAACCTCATCTGTCTTTCTTTTTTTTTTTTTTTGCTCTTTTTCTTTCAAACTCACAGAAATAAACCCACAAATTTGCATGTTCAGACACTGATCCTCATTTTGCAAATATGCAAACATCTGTGAGTTCAGTCTGTAATTTTCATAGCTTAAATTCCTCTTTAACTTTTGAAACTTGTTACTTCAGTTTGGCTTGTGGTTTGGCTTTATTCCTTTATGTGCTAAAGAACAGTAGTAGCATTCATTATTTTATGCTTCTCAGCCACATTCTTGTTTCAGTTATAAAAAAAAAGACACACACACACCCCCGCACACACACACACGACTGTGCTTGTTTTACATCCATAAAACTGAAGAAATGGCATGAAGTCAGCAAATAGTTGAAATTACAAATACATTTAGTGGTGCAGCTGCTGAGATCAAAAACATGTGTGGACGGATTTCTGACCGTTCACCTGCTGAGCCTCCAGATGGACTGACATTACGAGCTCATGAGAGCCCAGGGGAGGAAGTGGACTTTTTCTCCAAAAGCTGTAAAAAGCAGTATGTGTTCATTCAGAACATTTCTATATGTTGGGGGACAGCAGAAAGCACCACATCAATTCTGCTCTATCTTGGCTGCTACATACAAATTTCTGCACTATTTTAGAATTGTCGTTTAGTTCAATTTATTTTGCACAATTGAAATACAGATCATATATATTAAGAAAAAATAACAGTAATGATAACAATGCAGGAAGAAGCCGAAGCCCAGTGGGCTAACATAAAGCCTCCACCCAAACGGCATAGAAAAAATAATATCATCCAAGAATAATCCTTTATCAGTTGATCATAAATTTATGAAATACAATCATTTAAAAAGAAAACACAAAAATACATATAAAATTTAGTAATGGAAATTTAAATGAAATATGTAACAATATTTAACTAAGTACAGTTTTAAATGACGTTTAAGCTCTTTTATAGCTAGAGTCTGCCTATAAAGAGTTGTAGGTTTTGCAACGGCAGCAGAGGAAATGAAAAAAGCTGTTCAGTCCATTTTGATCAAATTTCCGTAAATTGTAGTCGACCAAGAGTTCTGGATTCAATATGATGGAATGACACATATCTTTTTATAGTCTGTGATGAAGTGAGAGCTCTGGAGGAGTCAGCTGTCTGAAAAAATAAAAACAAACCGTCATCCTGCTACCACTTCCTGGTCTCTTCTTCATTGTTTCCATCAGTAACATCTGGCTGATCATGTGAAAAGTGTTTCCATTACAGTTTTGCTAAATTCATCTATTTCAAAACAGCCCATAAACCACCTCATCCTAACACAAAATCTTTTCCTTTTTTTTAAATTTTTTTTTTAAATTGACGCGTTTCAATTAAGCAAATTTACTTTTGAAATTTCATTTTCCTCAGTTCTATGGTTAATGGAAACACAGCTATTGTATTCCTGGTAAAGATGTTGTTCAGTTCAGGACTCTTCTCTTTGTTCCTGTTTTGGTTCTTTCCCTCTTCGTAGCGTTAGCTTCCTTCATGGTCGAGCTGCTGCGTTACATTCAGTACGGTCAGATGTTAGAGATCAGGTAAAATCAGATCCAGTCATTTCAAACTTAAATTTCATGTTTGAACAGTTGTACCAAGCAAAGCGCAAAACAAGGACTGGTTTTTACCAGCCTACTACTGAACTTGTGTTCACGTTT